CCCCAAAACCCCAAAACCCCAAAACCCCAAAACCCCAATAGTACTTATTGGAGTTGAAAAACAAGTTAATAATATTAAAAATCAAATGAACACTATTAGAAATTTCAGAAGAAAGATCTTGCAACTCTCTATTCCTTGTACAAAGGAAGACCACATACAAGATTTAGGGTAAGACATTTGCTCGTGTTAAGGAGTTTATCAAGGTTTCGACTAACCTTGCTTTTTATTAGTTAATTCTGGAGTAATCTGACCTTGACCATTTAGACTCATCTTGGTAGATGCTTTTGATCAAGTTGAAAGTTTTGGAGACTTGCCTGAAAAACAGCCTAAACTTCCACAACTTTCAACGGAAATGAAAGATGTTCAGATGGAACCTACTTCTGTTGAGGAAACTAAAGGGTAAGCCTTGACTTTCTGGTTAAATATGCTCAATACTTTGATCTGTTCTGACCCATCTGTATAGTCAAGTGGAAGAAACTAAAAGTACTCCTAAAACTACAAATGCTGCCGAGCGTTCATGGATCCCTCAAAACTTGGAGGATAAGGAAATGGGTTTCTCAAGTGATGCTAAGGACAAGGAGTTCATAAAGTACAGACTAAACAACCCTAGGATCACAAAAAAGGGCGATAAAACAGTCTCTGAAGGCATGTGTAATGCTTACTTTGAGCAAAGAAGGAACGTCCTGACTCAACTTCTTGAATCTTTCAAAGAAAATGATGTTGTTATCCACCCACTCATGAAGAAGCAGAAGCCAAAGACTGGCAAATCCAAGACTGTAGGATCCAAGTACAGAGGAGTCTCTAAAAACAAGCATAAGTGGCAAGTCATGATCATGGGGAACTTTAAAAAATTCTACATTGGTGGTATCAAAACAGAAATGGAAGCTGCTAAATTGTATGATAAATTAGCTATTTTTTACCACGGAATGGAGGCAAAGACTAACTTTCAGTACACAAAGGTCCAGATTGAGGCCCTGATTGCTGAGCCAATGAACCACTAACTTAATTAATCTAAATATTGTTCAATGTAGTAATGAATTTTTGGATATTTAGGATTTCTCCACTTGTGACGCATTTTATCTAAAATTATTTATTTTTCAGAAAATTTTTATTACGTCAGTTTTATCCAAATTTTTAGATATTATTAAAAGTGAAATTAGTAGCTGGGGTCTTTGGAATGGATCCATAGAGATTAGAAGAGAGGTATAGAAGGCCTTGATGTGTATTTGGACCATAATGGTTGAGAATTAAGTCAGAGAGCATTCAAAAATTGGATATGCAACACTTCTTATGTCTCCTGTAATAGTCTAAATCGCTATTTTTAGACACTCTTTATCTTTTTGTCAAATATTTTCAGAAGAGATCAAAATTGAATTTTTCAAATATTTTCCTTTCTTCGTGCGTTGTGGTGACGAAATTTTACGTCCGTGCTTAAAAATGTCTGAACAGATTGTCATCAAAATGTCGAATTATCTTAGACCAAGGCATCGGATTCGTTCCTCGACATGCAGTTTAGGCATGAATATCCACACCTCATCTTCCAGTTCCTACCAGCTTCTGAGGAAGTGCATAAAAATAAAAGCAGTGTTTTGTAGAAATTTGTCCACTTCAGATTTAACCACACTGTTAATTTTTGTGAATATATTTACTAATACTAGTAACAAATTTCACACTAAATGGCAATCTTGGAATGGTAAAATATGCACCCATTCACTCATCAGCTGAGCATGGCTCTTCCTCAGTCTCCCAAGCCAATGACTCTCTACCTCTTGGCAGACTGGGTCAGCCTAACCCTGAGTCTAAGCATATCTTCTTAAAAAAAGCACGTTATTTTTCTTAGATTTTTCAAATTTCAAAAATCTTTTATTTCGGGGTGAGGTACGAACATAATTCGTCTTTGATACTAATCCCCTCGCAAAATTCGTTAGCAAATTCTTGAATCCCCACGTATTTTTCACATCAATTTGGCCAATGAGAAAAAATTTCTAACTTAATTAACCAAAAAACTGATCTGGTTACTATTGAGGGTGAGTAATTGGATGATTAAGTTCTGAAATTTATCAGATTTTTAAACTAAATTCTTTCAAAAGTATTTTAGTCAGAATGAACTTCTGACACACCCTCGCAAGTCTGCAACTGAGAGATGCTTGAGTTGGGCTGTTTTTATGAGGGTTTATTACATTTTTTGGGGGTTAGGATATGTAGACATATCCATTTCCCCTACTGTTGCTCAATTTTTCCTTATTTTTCACTGTAGGAAAATTTAATTGTCAGCGGAGTCACACTTAGGATTCCTTTTGAATTAGTTAAGACTCCCAAAAATTTGTAAGTCTAGATCGGGAATTTAATCAAATTTCTGCAGATGTGGTAATTAAACATCACTTCAGTCCTCTTCTTGTGTGGATATGCTCTTTTATAGGGATTTATGGCTATTATCCATTTTGAGTAAGAAGCCTAAACTGAAGATTCATGAACACTAATAGATGTACCTTGTTACTACATATCCTCTTGTATGATTACAGATGTAACCTCCTATCTGGGCTAACCTAACAAGAGTTGCACTTTTGTTAAATCTCAAAGCATCTTGGGCAAAATTTATTAGTTCAAAAGTCAAGAAAGGAGTAAAGGAGTCATTTTGTGAAGGAAAACACTAAATTGCCTTTTAGACAATTTACATTAATCAAAAGTACAAATGATTCATTAGTTTTGACCTTCTTTGGCTCCTAAGAGAGACATCCAGACAGCCATCAAGCTCTCTGATATTTTTGATGATAGCATAAGAGAAATACCTCTTTTGGTAAATATTTTGATTACATTTTGAGCCAAGAAGAAGATTTAGTCTTTTTGAGAAATATATGTTCAGGAAGATTTCCTAAGTATTTTATAGATATCCACTTATTGTAGAGACCTTCTTGTGCTTATAATTTACATCAGCATCCCAGAAATAAGCCAAAGAGATACTATCCAAATCGCAAAAATGCAGATTTCAAAGGTAATTTACACGTCAGGATTTCAGCTTAATAACCCTAAAATCTAGGGTATCGCCACCTTCTGGATATAAATTCTTCTTCTCAGGATATGATATCTTGTTCAATCCCTATCGAGTGCATTGCAGGTTTAAAAACTTGCCTGGAATCCTTCATCTCTGTTCATATCTCTTTTGAACACGATTGGCTTGGACCCATTTTGGCAGTATGATAAAGAAAGAGTAAATTAATTTGATTAAAACTACATTTATGCTCAGATTTCTTGAAGTTCTAAAATTTCTGAGGGATCATTGACTTTAACATTTTGAAGCATTCTGTACAGTAATTGATCAATTTAAAAATCTTAGTGAAAGTTAAGCTCAATTAAAGCTTCTTGAAGCCAAATTGCAATCTCTGAGTAAGGAAGTTATAGAATTAAGAATCATTCTGGGAAAAATCTAATCAATAAAATTTGGAGAAATCGAGTTTAGTCAGAGTTTGGCCGGGATATCCTCTGAACTAAGTAAGTCTAAAACTGACTGCTTAAGTGAGATCAACCTTCTATAGCGCTTTTATAATGATGAAGAGTAACATTTTAGGTAAAATTTTGAGTTCCGATTTGAGTTTAAAAAGTATAGTAGTTTAAATTAAAGATGGAAAACTCATATCTTTTCTACCAAAATGACTTTACTATCTCCCCAAGGAAGAGACCTTAGCTCAAGGTAAACTGAATGATAGGTGATGGCCTTACATTTTCTTGGGTAAGAGATTGGGATTGAAAAGAACTTGTTTAACATTAGCTAAAAATTCAAATTGATATTAGTAAAAGAAGGAAAAATTTGTCTTTAGTCTTGTTTGGATATGCTTTCCATCGTGCATCATAAATAAATGAATGCTATGAAAATATCAGATAACGACAAGAACATCTAATAATAGCTGCATAATTTTCTTCTAATACTCTTCCTTCTTGCTATCAGATGCAGCAATTTTTCTCACGTAACGTCACAAGGAGTTCATCTGAAGTAAATATCATTTTTCAATTCGCTGAAATGCAAATGGGGTTTTGGGGTTTTGGGGTTTTGGGG